TTATATATATATATATATATACAGGGTGATTCATAAAAGATGGGCTAAATTTTAGGAAGTGATAGTACACACCCAAACAAACATTTTTTATCAAAGAATACATGGTCGAAAGCAAAACGCAAAGGAGCTGGCTCATTTGGAAAGTTGTTTCATGCAAACGAGAAAACTCCATTCCTGTTGCGAGTTACCGCACTGCGAGCTATTATTTGCATGTAATGGGAAGAAGAGCCCTTAGCTAGGTGGTCCTTTAGCTTGGCCACCGCGCTCGCCAGACCTTTCATGTCACGATTTCTTTCTGTGTGGGCCTCTGAAGGTTCTTATGTATAAGACTCCTATTGAATCTGCAGAGGAACTTGTCTCCAAGCTTTCGGCAGCTGCAGGAGAAGTTCGCGGTATGCCTGGTGTGTTTCAGAATGTTCACCAATCTTTTCTTTGCCGTTGTACTGCGTGCTTAGCCACTGCCAGCCACTGTTTTGAATGCTTATTGTAATCACACGCCATTAAATTTGCTTTTATAACTTAACTTCATCGTTCTTACATAACAGAACATAACTTTTGAATCCCTATAACAGTTGTGGGTTTTGTTTTCGACCATGCATTCTTTAATAAAAATTGTATCACTTCCTAAAATTTTTCCCATCTTTTATGAATCACCCTGTATATATATATAAAATATATATATAATACCCAATCAGAACCAATCAGAAAATTCCCTCTTTAAATGTGTCTCCTAAAAATTTTATTAAAATTGTCGAAATATTTTTAGGATTTGTAGCTAAAATTGTTTAATAATTTAGGTAAACTCTTCATTTTATTATTATAGAATATATTATTTAGATGCTTGAAGATTTCGTGGTTTAGAAAACTTGATACTAAATAATAAATAATTTATATTAAAATTTAAAGAACTCTATATGCTGGTAATATATGGAATTTAAAATTAGTATATTCTTAGAATGTGTCGCATTAATAGTTATAGCTTATTTACTTTTATTTATAAAATAGTTGTGCTTGAAGAGATTTTCGCTCTTTTTCTTCTTTAACTTCTTTAGTTTTATCTTTCAGCACTGCTTCAGTTTTCAATAACCATTTATCTAATATACACATTTAATATTCCCTTTGTAATTTCAGACACTTCACAATTGTAAACAAGTTATGACTTAAACACATATTTTTTTTCATTTTTTAGTGGCAACATCACCGTTAGAAATAACTGGTGAACCAGAATTTGCAGAACCTATAAGTAATGTAACAGTATCAGCAGGAAGAGACGTTAGTTTACCATGTGTTGTAGATAACCTTGGTACATTTAGGGTAAGTAAAATTCGTCCAATTTTATTTTTGATTACAATTTAATTTCTGAATTACTTTTTAAAAAAAAGGCAGGTATTGATTCGTACATTGAGTGAATAAACAAAAGTTTTTCTCTTTTTCAATTTTACGCAGATTAATTGAAAAGGGAGATATGAATTGCTAATAAGTGTTACAAAAAAAAATTCGAAAATAAGTAAATTCTACGTTTTATTTTTAAAATCTGCTTTTAACTAATTTGTGCGGTAAAAGTCATAAGTATATTTTCATATGCTTTAATTTTTCCTTTCACAAAGATACCATTTCGCCTTTAACCATTTTGTATTTTGCCTTTTACTATTTTGACTTTTCTCATTTTGCCTTATAATATTTTGCCTTTTACCATTCAGCTTTTGACCACTTTAGCCTTTTATTATTTTAGACTTTTACCAAACCACTGTATCAAAAATCTTAATTTTTTTTAATTTTTTTTTGCGCTTAACTTTTTTTTAATTTAGAGTCTACTAGACTTTGGCTTTCCCAGTAACATATGAATTTTAGAGGTGAAATATTTTTTTATAAAGTATTTTTATTTACGTTAATAAAACTAATTTTAACATAATGAAACAGTTTGTTTTTTTTAAGCCCAACCATTACAAATTTAATTACTTTTTTTATGAAAATATAACAAAAAGAAACAAAAAAGAATGTTTGAGACTCCATTCTTTTATACTAGTCTTCGACCCATACTAGAGTTTGTGTATTCACTATATTTACAGTAAAAAATCGAAGTTTGTTATATTCTAATTGCTGCCGCCAAAACCTGCATTTTTTGTAAGTGGCTCGGTAAAAACCTGGCTCTCGCTTTCATATGATTCTATTCCGGCCTTTTACCAAGCCTGTGCGGTAAATACCAAAGCGTTTCCAAACATCATTGTTAAATCATAGATACCATCGGAAGACTTAGACTTTATCAGACTTCAGATTTTACAGTGAGACCTGAATTTTGGAAGCGAAATTATATGTTATTTCCTAAAAAATATTTTTAATTTTTATTTAATATGTATATTCATTTTTATTGAAATTATATTTAGAACTATTTTGCAGTTACAAGACATTTTAAAACATATTTTATGGAGAAAAAAAAATTTAGGGTGATTTCATGATTTTGTCCATCACACGAAGAAAAAAAAAATTTAAAGGAAAATTATTAAATATCCTGGAATGTGCAATAAAGTCATTTTTAACGACATCTATTCTTGCCAATATAAACGATGTATTAGAAAACGATAGGGTATAATATATGCTATGTAGATTTATGTAGAAAGCAACGTGAATAAAGCACATACGGAAGTATAGAAATGAACATACTATGATTTCGGTTCTATTTTTTTTTTATTTTTTTTTTATAAATTACGCCCGCCATCGTCTTCTCAGACATAAGGCGTCTTGCAGTCCAATACAATACTGAAGTAGCTCCAGAAGGTGAGAGGGCACAAAAGTCATTATTTCGGTTCTATAAACAATAACCTTTCTCAAAGTTTGAGCACCAAATGAACTAGTGCTTTATTCACATTGTTTTTCTAATTGGTAAGAAACAAAGAATTACTAAAGTGATAAGAAAATTGATAAACATGTGAAAATGGTTAGACCAAAAGAGAGAAAGGGGAACACATTTGAACAAGACAATACAAAAGGACAGGAGAAATGTGTATTTTTTTCTCAGCCCCTTCTTATGTGACCTGTATATGAGCTATTTAGAAGAAAAACTCTTTGATTTAATGAATAAAAAAATCCTTTTTATTTTCTATTCTGTGTGAGCGTCAGCAAAAATGCTTGAATACTATTGAAAAATATATTAATATTAATTTTTGTATCTATACAGTAAGTACATAGTTTTCATTCTGGAGTGCCAAAAATGAGTGTCATGACGAGGAAGTGACATGAAAATTAGGAGGACATTTTCTTTTGTGTTCAATCCCTGTAATGTAGTATCGTTCTTACGAAAAAAATTCCTATTCAAGTTTTGCTGAGGCAAAAGACAGTAATCCTGCTAGGCCAGGAGTTTGTAGTGGTTCCACAATTAGAGCACTATACTGTAAATCATTAACCCGTTTTTCAATGTCCACAAATATGGATAGCATTTAGAAAATCGGATTTTATATAAGTAACCAGTTTTTCGGATATTATATCTACTGAAATCAAAGCTAAGAGGGTTGGATGCTTTTATTATTACTTACATGACAATAATTCTTCCCCAGCAATATTTTATTATCCTGGATAATAACAAATATAGCTTTTCATATAGCATAAATATGGTTCAGACACTATGACGGAATTATAATTCAATAGGAAATAAAAAAGGCTTCTTCTATAATCGAATCTACGATAAGATATAATTCTGTATATTTCACGAAACCCGTTTCGCTTGACATTTTTTTAATTTATAAAATTAAAATGCAAATTTAAACAAATATGCAAATTTAAAAACAGGCATAAAACTTCAAAAATAATTATTTTTCTTATGAGGGGCTAAAAGACCCCTTTTGGTATTTTAAGTATTTATATAGTTATTTATTTTAATTAACAGAAAGTCATGAAAGTTAGATATATACTTAGANAAAAAAAAAAAAAAAAAAAAAAAAAAAAAAAAAAAAAAAAAAAAAAAGAAATATGTGCTTCGAAGATCGCCTGTGTCTTTAAAAATACTATAAGATATGGCAAAAAACGATCAAAATGATTTCAATGGCTCTTCTAGTGTTAAAGAACGACACACTAAACAATTGGTTAGGTAGTCATTTACATTACTTGGAATATGCTCTTGGAGCAAAAAAGAAATTTCTAGAAGCTATAAATTTGTTTTTCACAACTTTAAACAGTGTCAACTCAAGATTCAAAGGCTGAAGTTTGCTGAAAAAATTAACCTGAAAAATTTGACAATTTAAGCACTTATAATTTCTGTCCCCTCTCACAGAGAAAAGGACAATAAGATAGAATTGAAAGAATGTGAAAAAAGCTACAGAAATCTGATAAACAAGAAACGGAAGAGATAAAAAGAAAGCTCACAAAAAGTTTTTGCGAGCTTTGTATAGAAAAAAATTATTTGAATCTCTTAGAAAAGCGTATCAAGTGGTATTTTCTTAAGATGGGTAACGTAAAATATGAATTAATTGAACATTCTCGATACAGGCAATTTTCACAGATCAGTAGAAAATGACGTAGAAAGTGGGTATAGATATATATTGTTATAATTATAAGTTATTGCATTTATAATTATAACAATAATCATAACTTTCTCCTAACAGCTAGAAACTTTCATTATACTAGTTTATAACTTTAACAGCTTAAAATAATAGTATTCATACGAAAATTAATAGCGTTTTATTGATATTGACAATCTAAATTAGTGTTCGAAATTTTACAAGTGTATCTTTATTTTAAATTCATGAAGAAACTGAGACAGTAAGTAGCACGAAGTAAAATATCGAATCTTTCTGAAATAATACTTCAATGCAATTTTATTTCGATCATTAAATCGCATTCCATCACACCCAAAAGGCAATCGAAGAATACAGGTAGCTTTTAAATCTCAATTTACATTTCTCTTACAAATTCAAAGAATCCATGCATAATTTATAAATCCAGCACTGATGCACACTATGTCTCTATTAAAAACAAAGGAAGAGCACTTCAAAAAAAGTTAGACGCTTTCTCAAAAGAAATAAAGCAAAACAAAAAATAAAGGGGGAAACAATTTGTCTTGAAACTACTATACGAACGACACATTTTCTTATATATTCAACTCTGTTTGTTTTCTTCGTTCACTTTTTTTAACTCGAGAGCTGATAAAGAAAAAGAACGAACAACGTATTTTATTGATAGGTGCACGGAGGAAGCTCGATGAAAAAGGGGAGTCTGTTCTAACATTGGGAAGTTAGTGGCATTTCTGGAATGCCAGCAACGCTGCCTCTGTGTCACATAGAGATGGTTCCGTCAGTTCCTGCCCGGGCATGTCAATTCCCGTCGAAACGTCTCCTCAAACTTACCCTTTTGTTTACTTCACTTATTTAGTTCTCTCCGAATACAAAAAGACAGAAAGAATGCTGTTGGAATGTTTTCGGTTATATTGCCGCGTTCGATATGTCCCCTCAATGTCTGCAAAGAACGTTTTTGTTTTCCTGTCTTTTGTTCTTTTACTGAAAGCATTTAATCCTTGCAATGGAAATCAGTATTTTCTTGCAATGTTTATCGAGAACCGAAGAAACAAAGCATTGAAAGAGATATAAATGTCTGAATAAAGAAATAATAAAAATAACAAATGCCCAACGTTCTATTGGCATTTTCCGTCACAGAATGCTAATAAAACTTCAAGTTTAATAACAACAACGCAAGTGTACTTGTGAGACTCGCTAAAATATCCAAAAATAATTCTTAAATAAATGCAACACGTGTAAAATAATGCTGTGAATGGAAAGTAGCTGTGTTTTATTCTAACATAATCGAGTTTAATTCTTGTCATATAATTAAATCTAGTTTTATCAGGTTTAATTCCAGTCATAGAATTAAATCTAGTTTAATCAGGTTTAATTCTTATCATAGATCTAGCTTAACACAAGTCAACTTAATGAATTTCTGTGTCGTTTTCACATTGATGTTTGTACAAGCAGGTCACATAGTGCATAAACGTGTGTACGTAATCTACGAGTTTTTTGAGATGGAAGTTGTAAATGAAATTTATTATCGACTAAAGTATACAATTATTATTATCAACCACACGTTTATAGCAATGCAGCAATTAACACTTCTGATTGAACTTAGGAATTGCCCCTTCAATCAAGATCAAGCCAATTATGGATGAATATATTTAAAAAACAATTATCTGCTACCCATTATTTCCAATTTACGACTTGCATTTTTAAATCGAATTATATCATCTGCTTATAGTCACTTTCTTGTTCATATGGTGTCACAAGGAAAATTGTTCAAAATTGAGAGACGCCAAATTCTTAAAATGTGTCCCCAAA